TCTTAAGTGGCTGGCGAGAGCCCAGAAAAAAAGCCAATGGGATGGATCAGACGTTGCTTTAATTTCTCTCTTTCTCTGCAGCCGGGAGCAGCCCTTTGGATAGCCCACGAAACTTCTCAACCAGCACATCTGTCAACTTTCCCTTTGCTCGCAGGTAAGCTGGGGCTTGCTTCCTTCTTCCCTCAGCCTCCCTTCCCTCCCTGCTCCCTGTAGAGAAGGGTTGGACTGAGAGGGGAAAGAATTTACAAGATTGTCTCTTGGCAAAGGGTGGTGCATTTACCTCTTTCAGTTCCAGAGAGCACCGTCCGTATGGTGCATGTTCTCATGGGTGCAAATGTGCATGGGGCAGGGAGGGAGGCGTCCTCATCATGTTCTTTAATTAGCCCATGGCGTGTTCTTTAATTAGCTCATGGCGGAGTGCAGTGAAATAATCAGACTCTCTTCAGGAGTTGCCCTGCTTGGAGTAAACGGGGCAGGGAGATCCGATGGTAGAGTCACCGTGCAAACCCTGCCTGCTTTGCACCTGACTCAAGCCAGAACTAACGTATCAGAGACGAGCTTCTTATTTTGGGGAGGGGCGGGGTGTTTAGACACAGTCCCGACTGGGCAAAGGCCTCTTTCCCAAGCCCCTTCCTAAACTAGAGCGCAGCACGAAGGGGGGGTCAAGGCAGAAGCATTTGTCCCCAGCATTCTGCTAGGTGCAGATTTTTTTCCCCTTGGCTCGTTGGACACTGCGGGAGCTTTGATGCCTGCTAAAGCTGTCGGAGTTCCCACGAGTCAAGAAAACACGGAAACCCGTGAGCCTGAGAAACGGCAGCAGGCCCAGGAGTGGTTTCGGTTACCTTGTTTCTTTTTGTCTCGCTCCCTCTTCCCGGCTGATAATTTCCCACCACCCTGCAGTCATGCTCCTCGGACTGACAGGTAACTGCAAGAAGGAACTAAGCTCGGACAGGGCCTGGGCGCAGAGGGGGATGCCAGCTCCGCTTAGGCAGGGCCCTTGTGGCTGTGGGTTTTACCTCGCTTGTCCTGAGCATAACCGATTGAATCAGTCTGTGACTGGTTCCCATAATACGCTGCCGCTCCGGGAACAGACCCAGCTCTGTTTCTCTCGTGCTGCTATTGGCTGGGAGTCCAGTCCCCAAATCTGCCCCACTTGAAAACTTCTCAGCCGATTATCAACAGTGTCCTGGATTCGAAACAGCTGCTGCTCTGAAATCCACAACTAGGTCAGCGGGGAAAAGTGACCAGTGTGATAGAGATGGGAACAGCGCCCTCCAGGCCCTGCTGGGTTGGTGCCATGGGCCTCACTGGGGTGCACAGGCAGAAATAAACAACCGGGAAACGGGCGGTGTTAACTCCTCGTTTGCCAGCTGGGAGAGCGCCAGTGGTGCTCTAGTCTCAAGCTGCTCATGTTGGGAACACAGAAATGTGACGACACAAGCTACTTAGGAGACTGAGCAGCTCCGGGGGTGAGATCCATCAGCCCTGCTCGTGGCCTTACGATGGGGGCTTGGCCAACCCTCGTAACTCACCCT